CGAGGTTTCAGTATTAATTCGCAAATTTTGGGAGATTGAAGAAGTAGATCGCAAACCAATAACAAGTATAGACGATAAATACTGTGAAGATTTTTATACCACAACGACCACTCGTAACGAATCAGGTCACTACGAAGTCGCTTTACCATTTAAGTATAGTTCTAAGTCTTTAGGGAACTCTTTCGATATCGCTAAACGCAGATTTTATCATTTGGAACGTAAATTCGCATCGCAACCGCAACTGAAATACCTTTATGATGAGGTAATTCACGAATATATAGGAAAACAATATATTTCTCCCGTAGACGTAATTGAAAATAACAGCCCTAGTTATTTTATACCGCATCACGCAGTCTTACGTGAGGACAAAGTGTCCACGAAAATAAGGCCGGTACTAGACGCAAGCGCGAAGTCTAGTACTGGATTTTCGCTTAATGATATTCTACATACAGGTCCTTCCTTACAACAGGATTTATTTATTATTCTCTTGAATATGAGATTGTTCGCAGTCGCCATCTCAGCTGATGTGCGACAAATGTATTTACGAATAAAAGTTCGCCCGCAAGATCGTTGTTTTCAACGTATTGTATATAGATTTAGTCCTAATAAACCGCTCCAAGTCTTTGAATTTAATAAAGTTGCATTTGGCTTACGTTGCAGCCCGTACTTAGCATTACGTACTGTAGCTCAGTTAGCTTCCGATGAAGGAAATAAATTTCCAATCGCGCATGAAATTGTAAAGAGAGACATATATGTTGATGATGTTGTTAGTTCAGTTAAGAATAGTAAAGATGCCTCGCAGGCAGCATCAGAGCTCACCGCTTTATTTTTGACTGGTGGATTTGAACTGGCAAAATGGACTAGCAATTGTAAAAAGGTCTTAGAGCACATTCCAGAAAGTAATCGTTTTTCGCAAAATCTGGAATTCGATAAGGATGAAACGCTTAAAATTTTAGGTTTATGTTGGTTTCCATCAGATGATGTTTTCGCATTTAAAGTTACTCCCATTAATCGTCCATGCACCAAACGCAATATTTTATCATCAGTCGCACGACTTTTCGATGTTTTAGGTTTAGTCGCGCCTATAATATTATATGCAAAGCTTTTAATTAAACAACTTTGGATTTTAAAACTCGATTGGGACGAAACGCCCCCGCAAAAAATTGTTCGCACGTGGAATCAATTCCAATCTGAATTACCACTCATTTCTAACATTAAATTTATTCGTCATATAGGTGTTATTGATAATTGCAAATTAAACATTCTCGGATTTGCTGATGCATCCGAACGCGCATATGGTGCTTGTGTATACGCGTATATTGAACTGCCAGATGGTACTTCAAATATTACACTTTTATGTGCCAAGTCAAAGGTAGCACCATTAAAGGTAATTGCTTTGGCACGATTGGAATTGTGTGCCGCTGTAATTCTTTCTAAATTAATCAAAATTATTTATCAAGTTTATTCGCCAAGATACCCCATAGAATCGGTATTCGCATTTTCGGATTCTACGGTCGCATTAAATTGGATACACTCGTCGCCACACAAATGGCATACGTTTGTTGCGAATCGAGTATCGCAAATTCATGAAAACATGGAACCAACGCATTTTTATCACATTAAGGGCACGGACAATCCCAGTGACTGCCTGTCTCGGGGACTGAGTCCTGCTCAACTCGCAACGCACCCCCTTTGGTTAAATGGTCCACCATGGATTTGTAAACCAAAGGGACAATGGCCAATTAAGCCATTTCTTGCTGCGGATTCATCGGACATTCCAGAATTAAAACCTATCGCACTGGTTACCATTGAAGATTCTATGGAACCTTATTTATATTCGCTCGCTCGCAAATTTTCGTCATGGATGAAATTACTTCGTGTAATTTGTTATATTTATAAGTTCGCTAACATTCTTCCACGCGGCGTCATATCCAGTTCCGATTTGGATTTCGCCGAACGTATAATTATTCGCGCTGTGCAGGGGTTTCATTTTAAAAACGATATTAGCAAGTTAAATAATAAAAAACCTTGTACCGCATCAATAATTAAATTAAATCCATTTTTATCAGACAATCTCTTAAGAGTTGGTGGTCGTCTGACTCATTCTGATGAAGATTTCGATTATAAACACCCTATATTACTTCCGGGCAGAGATCATATAGTTCAATTAATTGTAACACACTTTCATCGTAAAAACCTGCATACAGGCCCAGAATTGTTAATGTCAATACTACGTACTAAATATTGGATTCTCGCAGCTCGACGTATGATTCGCACGATCGTAGCTAATTGTAATATTTGTTTCCGCAATAAACCGCGTCCTACATTCCCACCGATGGGTGATCTGCCTGCACTAAGGGTGAAGGAAGTTCCTAAAGCCTTTGTCCATTGTGGCTGTGATTTCGCAGGTCCGTTTTTTGTAACCCCTTATCGCGGTCGTGGTATAACCACTCGCAAAGCATACGTTTGCTTATTCACGTGCTTAACCACTCGGGCTGTTCATATTGAGCTCGCAAGTGAATTGAGTACAGTTTGTTTTCTCGCCGCGTTAAAACGTTTTCTCGCTCGCCGCGGTCCTATTCAATGCATGTATACGGATCATGGTACTAATTTTATAGGGGCACGATCCTACCTACGTGAACTTTATTTGTTTTTATCGCAAGAATGTAGATCTGTTTGGGATAAGGAATTAGCTAACAATGGAATTAAATGGATCCTTATCCCTCCTAACGCACCGCATTTTGGAGGATGCTGGGAAAGTAATATAAAATGTGTCAAAAGCCATCTAAGTAAAGTCATTGGGCTACAAATTTTAACCTTTGAAGAACTTACGACTGTTCTTACACAAATAGAATCGCTATTAAACTCTCGCCCATTGACCGTCTTAAGTTCAGATCCGTCGGACCTGGAAGCATTGACACCTGCTCATTTTCTTAACACTATACCGCTAAAACACTTCCCAGCACATGACGTAAGTGACGCTATTCCTCATCTTTTGAAACGACACGAGCTTTTAGACCAACTCGTTCAGTCGTTTTGGAAGAGGTGGCATCGGGAATATTTGCATACGTTGCAATTGAGACGCAAATGGAACACGCCGGCCTTTCCTATCCAGGAAGGCACGATAGTAGTTGTTATGCAGGAGAATTTAACTCCATTACATTGGCCTCTTGGTCTTATAACACGAGTTTATAAGGGTAAGGATGGCATTATTCGCGTTGCCTCAGTCAAAACAAAGGCTGGTATTTTTCAAAGGCCAGTGGTAAAATTATGTCCATTGCCTTTGCAATAATATGTATTCTATAAGATAGGTAGTACGCATTTATAATAGGTTAATAAGTTAAGTTAAAATCCTTTGCATTTTTCTTATTTAGTAAATTCCGCATTTGATATTTTTTGTATTTTTTCTTTCTTGTTTTTTGTATTTGTCGCATTCGCAATAAGGTTCAATTATGTAGTTCCTTTATTTTTTTTTTGTTAATTTTACTTTGACATTATGTCAAGGCGGGGGGCATGGTTACGCCAAACGCGATGCGTACCTGGTTTGTCTTGTGCATTGACACCCCTCCCGGCTAATTCAATAATCAGTGATGTCATAGCTTTCGCCGCGCGCGCACGTCGCACTCATATCGCACGCATGTCTTAATAGTTGTAATCAACCTGAGTGAATTCCTGAGATTCCCGTAACCGTGTGGGCCCACTGAAGAACAAGCACATTGAAGTAAGGGTAAGTCATTCATATTTGACCAGCCAGTTTCCTATACAATAATATAGTCCATCGAAGAAGGCTAGATCATAGCCACCGCCGCACCACCCTATTAAACAAATCCTAAACAAGCAGGATGTCACATTACTTATCCAGTTGGGTTGTTTCCAAACAACAGTAAAACTACTTAATCTGTGATTAGAATTATAAATCACGAATCGACAGGTAAAGCAAAGGAAATGAAGACGTTGAAATTAAACACTGCCTGTATCCAATAAGAGTAAACTAAGATTAATTGCTTCACGAGATGGGTAGTGTTTGTTTCTACCTTATTAAACTTTAATGAAATCCACTCAGTGGAGGGTGCATTTGAAAGTTTATTTGTTTTTATAATTTGAAAACACGAAGTTGAGTGGCATTTATTATGGGATCCATTGTTACTTATAAGTATTGTTCTTTAAAATATAAATGGCAGATTTGTATTTGCTAGAGGTGTGATTAAATGAGGTTCAATCAGTCAATCCATCGTAACAAATACACCTAGGATTAACCAGCATCGGGAAATGAGGGGGACAATCCCCCTCATTTCTCCCTCTCATGGTGGATCTACCCTGACATGGTACTTGTTAACAATATGACCTTTAGGTTGTTTTTTTAAACTGTGATTGTCGCATTATAGTAATTAAGTATAATCTGTATTACTTAACCTCTTTCCCTGTGGAATTTATTAATGCTAGATGGTCTAGAAATAGGATAGTTCTGCAGGCATTCAGTAGTGACTACTATAACCTAAATGACCTAACTGAGGAGACAGGGGATTGTCAGTAATGAGGACTGATGACCATATTGCTAGTAGTGCCATGTCAGGTTGACTTTCATGCGGTTCCGCCTGGAAACTCACGTGAAAACGGTTAGTTGTAGTAGCATGTCTTTATAATCGCTTTTTACCAAAAATGTTTAAAAAATATGTTAGATTTCCTAGGAGTAATGAATTTATGCATGCTAAATATGTTATAACTATTAAATATAACTAAAAGTATAAGGTTTGGTAGTCATAATCGGTTTTATGGATGATAATGGAATGGTACACTCGCTCGCTCTAGGTTTAAACAGAGCACCAGTGGAGGATGATAAGATGAGCATGAGGTCAGATCAATGCTTTAAGCATTCAGGGGCACGGCGTTGAAGTCCACCTGACTTGGTACATTTTTAGCAATAGCAAAGTCTTAGACCTTCTAATCTCGTTAGATCCATTTGGGTTCTTACGTAGATATAATAATAAATGCAATCTCACCTAAGTTCTTTCAGCTCAGTCATGAACATCCTTCCATCAACTGGCTTAGCACGAGTCTTGAATGATAACAGCGGGAGTTCGCCCATCTGGTGTATAGCATTATCCGTTTCAGAGAACCGTTGCCATAGATTTGACCTGGATACAAAAAACTCTTTAAGTACAACTACATATAATGATTAAACAAAACCTTATATTAACGTGTTAAGATCTAATTTAAGGTAAGCGTTGGCATGGCATTAATGACGTATGAAACAGAATATAAGCCGTTTATATTTTTATTAGTTAGTGAATAATATGACATAGTTAACCGATGTAAGAGAAGCAGAAGAGTAAACGCCACTGCACATCCTATGTGGCTGTAGCCCTCTCATGCATAAACGATCTCCTTTGGAAAGTACACTATATCCTGAGGAGATAAAAATGATCACTCCTAAGAATATCCTTCAAGTCTTGTCCCTTACGGGTCTACGTAACGATTTTTGAATAAGGGCGAGCACAATAGATCTATACATGTCGCAGTGTTACAGGTCATAGCCGGTCATACCTGATAATAGCCCAAACCCCCCAATAAAAAAAACTAACCGGCATAGGGATGTAAAATTATTTTATAAATATATAAAATATGCGATTTAGATATAAAAAAAACAATAATTTTATCTCACAGACGATTTTATTTTATACGATTCATTCTTTCAAAATTTTCAGCAAAAAGCTAAAACAGCTAAATGCTCTACATCATTTATTTTTAGGTTAAGTGATGTAGAAATGGAATCAATTATGGAAAAATCTATTTTAATCTAACCTATTAAGAAATAGCAACGCGCACGTGACACCTCTGGTGTCCCAGGCGTCTATAGGCTACGGTAGCCATTTACCATCAGATGGGCCGTATTGTTTGCTACCGTCGTAGTATAAATAATAACGATTTTTATATACAATGTCATATCTCTAGTCAGTACATACTACTGAATGCTAAGGTGCTATACTAAAGGCAATTGTCTTTTCTACTGTTTGCACTACTATACTATGAGTTTAATTAGAAATATCTGAATTACTTGCGATAATATTATTGTGTATACCATTATATATATATGAACTTAATATTTTTCCTTCAAGCGATTGTCTAAAAAGAATCTATAGCCAACAAAGTGAAATAAATTGTAGGAATAAGAAGACTAAACAGTAATTATTATGCCTATTAGTATAGATTTGAAATTACCTTAAAGTACTGCCATTGGTGAAGATAAAAAAGGCCACTTCCGACCTCTCTTGTTGAAATCTTGTGACAAGTTTTCCAAGTTCTGTAGCTCTGCTAACCTATGGATATAATAGTTTTTTTAATGATGATAATGATTTGGTACATCCTTCATGCCTTACCAAAGGACTAAGATATCACTATTCTATAATTTCACTGCATAATCTGCACCCACACCCATACACACTCACACAGTCTCTCCGATTTTGATATTTTTTTTTTTATTTGACAGCTGTTGCTTCTCATATGATTCCGTATCATCCCAATGTGATCCATATCTAGCTAGTAACTTTGGAGGTATCTTCAATATCGCGGACCGAAGTCGGATTTTTCGTGACTTGAACATGATATTGTATTATTTTTATTTTGTATATGTTTATATTAATCAATTGAATTTAGACTTTATTTTTAGACGGCATTATGTTTATTTATTTGTTTTACACTTGACTTCTCACTTATACTGTATGTTTATGAAAATATTTAAATAAATAGAATAAACGCAGATCCTATTTTAAGCATCCTTCTTTTCTATTTATTAACAAAATAAAATTATATTTTTATCTGCGTTATCGTCGAAAACAGCTGTCTTAACTATGCTGTGGGGTTGATCTGTAGATTATTTTAGAGATAAGTCCACCTTTGTGAGATCGTATTTATATCTCAAAGAGCAATTCACTTTATTTTTTGTGCAGTGGCTTTATCTAGCATTTATTTGCCTATGTCCATTTTCCTGATCAGTCTATAGATATTCACATTATATATTTTAAAAGTCTGTTTAGTAGTTTAGTTATAACATAAATCAACAAACTGATGGACACTAAGAGATACTTTTACATTTATAATTAATTAATTCAGGTATTTGGGCTCCTTAAAATATGGTCGAGCGCAGTGATGGCTGACTCATCCGTCATACTCGTGAACGAGTGCTGCTTGTAGGGCTGGTCTGCTCTTATCACTACGACTGATTTAATCTTATTGTGTTTTTATATTAGACCCTAATAAATTAGTGCTGGTTGGTAGTTTGTATTCACACGTTTCGACTTGTAAAATATGAACTTACAAGGACTATTTATAAGACCAACACATAAGTTTCTTGTTCGATCTTCTTTCGACAGCTTTTCGAATGAGTGGTGGATTAAAAAAAAATTGTTGTGACTATTCAAAAGTGCTTAAATGAAGTTTATTTGAATAAATGATTTTCTATTCTATTCTATTCTAATCAAAATAATAGCTCATACTTATAATGCCACTGCAGTCTGTTGTCCGTTTCGTCATCCATTCCTCAATAAAAATCTTATATATAAAATTCTCGTGTCACAATGTTAGTTACCATACCCGTACGAAACGACTTATCCGATTTTTATGAAATTTTATAAACCATAAAAATTGTACCGTATCTATATTCAGTAGGTCTGAAAATTGTTTACTATCTATTTTTCATAGCCCTGAGTGATAAGATGTGATGTACCCTCAACATTTTTTTTTAATTTTTTAATATTTTTTTCTTTTATATCTTTATAATGTGGCATTATAAATTATAAACAACCCTAAATTTTCACCATCAATCCCTATTTTTAATAGCGATTTTAATTTAAATGGCAAAATAACGTTTCCGGGGTCACTAGTCACTGTATATAATTAATTTAAATTTTTCGTACCCCTAATACCCCTAAAGAAGGAAGAAAAACAACGCCACAAGTGATTTGTATTCGTGCCGTGTGCAATGTTTTCGTAGTATGACAAGAATAATTATTATTACAGTAATTTAATAGAGGTTTTGCTTATGAAAAAATTGAATGTGGGCGTTTTGATTAAGTAACAGACAAATATGTATCTTTACATAGTATAAAAGCCGTTTCCGCTGTCTGTTCGCTTAGATCTTATAAACTACCCAACGGATTTTAATGCAGTTTTTAGCAGTAGATAGAGTGATTCAAGAGGAAGGTTTATATGTATAAAACATGTACACCCGTGCAAAGCCAGGGCTAGTATTTTATTATTAATAGTGTATTCTTGATTCTTTTAATCGTATATTTTGTGCAATAAATTGTAAGTAGATAATAATAATAATATTAATAACCCTGGAGAATTCAGACAGCGCCATCTAGTCCCAAGCTAAGCAGAACTTGTGTTGGGTACTAGGCAACTGAGATAAATACTTAGTTGTATTTTTTTCGTAAATACATACATAATATATATAGAATACACCCAACTGTTACAAACAATCATATGCATGAATACAAATGCTTGCATCATGCGCGTAATCCAACCCGCGACCAACGGAAATAAAGTGGTGTGCTAAACCGTTATACCATGAGGCCGTCAGAGATTAGTATAACAGTTACATTAAAATATGTTACCTTGTTTTTTTTAAATATTTTTCTAATGTACATATTACTAAATAATTATATAAAAATTTAAGCCTATTTCCATATACACTTATAAGATGTAGAATAGAATAGAATATATCTTTACTGCTAACTGTATTTATTTTAATATGTAGGTGGTATATATAGGTCTATGTATCAACAGTTTCACCGGCATGCAGCAATTTACAACTGATATTATAAAACATACAAAACATTTTTAACTTCTTTTTAGACATGCATACCTATCTAAAAATAAGTTCCACATATTTTCAAATTAAAGAAAGGACATTCCATTACTCGCGTGTCCGATATAAATATATGATAGGTACCCTATTTTTTCAGCACGTGAAAACCGTCACTTGTAATTAGCCCATGTCACTTTTCATGTATTCTTATAGACTATGCAACAAAAACAAACAAACATTACGAATCAATGAAAATTGTTTTTTTAGGGATGTTTTAACTAAGTCATAATCAAAAAAAAGTCAAAATACATACTGTAGAAACTCAAAAGAAATTTATACGGAAATACAAATATATATCCTACTATGTTTCTGTTGGGAATGTGTAACACACTATTATTATTGGAATATGTAGTCAAAGTCATGCCTATAGACTAATTACGTACAAGCACGAAGACGAAACTTGTTTGATGTTCCATGGAGAAGGACAAAATTGAGTCTACAACGGTGTTGTTAGTCGTTTTCCGGATCTGGACATATTTACTAGTAATTTGCTGGAGTTTCGTAGGATGGCAGTAGATTATTTAAGTAGTATGGAAAAGTAAGATTATTATTATTGTTATTATTTTTTATTTTATTTTTTTCTTGTGTAATGAAAACTAGTATGTGTTTTATAAGTGTGTGTGTATATATATACAATCTTCCTAAGTGGGCATATTGGGAAACTGTAAAGCTCAAGTGTGACTTAAATAAATAAAATAAATAATTTATTTACTGTTTATGTATGTCTATATATTTATTGATTCTTATAGTTATTACTGTGTCTACAATATCTTAATATCTCTTCTTTTATAATTTACTAGCTACTCGTCCCAGCTTCACCTGTGTGTATATGTATGTTTAATACACACACATAGTACATATAAACCTTCCTCTTGAATCACTCTATCTATTAAAAAAAAATCCGTTGCGTAGTTTTGAAGATTTAGGCATACATAGGGACGGATAGACAGCGATAGCGATTTTGTTTTATACTATGTAACTGCTATTTATGTATGTCTATATTTTAATATATTTATGTCTATTGATTCTTATAGCTATTACTATTACAACAGTATCTTAATATCTCCTCTTTTTCGTACACATATGTATGTCTGATCTAGTTAACACACTATCCTATAACATTTTCTATGTTTGATGGAAGAAATCTCTTTTTAGACAAAAGCTAGCACTTGTACATTACATTTATTGCATCACATTTATTGCATCACATGCGCTCGCCTTCGCTAACAGTATACGCTGGCTGAGCATCAGTGGAGGATGATGAGTATAAGATCAGGTCAGTTACCCCATCGTAGCAAATTCACTAAGAATTTACCATGATGGTTTCCAGAGCGTACTGCGTGGAGGTCACTCTGATATACATAGGTACTTTCCCTCATTACCCTCGTGTTATGTGTGTTTATGAGCAGCGGTAATCACTGTCTTCTTTCTGCTGAACCGCTAATTTATTTTTATAATGTACTAGTTTTTATCCGGGGCTTCGCTCGCATTGAATATATTAAATAACTTCTTTACTAGCTGCTAGATGACGCTGAAGTAGCAATAAGTTGATTTCTTTTTGTTTATTAACAATTTTTTTTAAATAAACGTATCCTAAATGTTCTTACTAATACCTCCAAGAGTACAAAATTTCATGATTATCGGTTCAGTAGCTTTTGCGTGACAGCGTAACAAATATCCCTATTTTCACATTATAGTATTAGTATGTAATATTATATTATCTGTGGTATTAGTAAGGATGTATGTACACTATAAAAAAAAAATTAAAATTTGTTTAACCTTGTTTCCTCTTACCTGTTCTTCAACATCAGCGACTTCTCTCCCATTTGTGAGACTGCTGCGCAAAGATAGTGTGGTCTGGACTATCAGCGCCAGGATCGGGATGAATGGCAGTAGCAGTAACCTCCACAGTTGGCAGCGCCGACTCTTGTACCATCTCCTGAATTTGCCGCACCCATCGGTTTTGGTTTCTTTTGGTGACGCTGCAAAACATTAATAATAATAAAACAAAAATAATTAGGAAATTGTTATTTGTTTATAGAAATAGAATAGAATAGAATAGAGAACATCATTCAAAGAAACGTACATTGAGTCACTTTTGAATAGTTATTTTATTTTGTTAATCTACTATAGAATAGAATAAAAAATCATTCTTTTAAATAAACTTAAAAAAAATTTACTGCTCATTCGGAAATTTTTCTCATCAAAAAAGAATGGGCAAGAAACTTGCGTGTTGTTTTTTTAAATCATGTTTTAAATAGAGACTGGTCTGGCCCAACTTGCAGGGACTGGTCTGCTCTGATTACCGACTATTTTAGTATTTAAATATACTTGAGTAATAAATACTCATGTAGGAATAAAATTTCGACCATTGTCAATTAGTGCCATTTGCAGAGTATACAATATAAAAAATGACAAAAGTACTACATTTCTTTAAAAGAGCAACAGAATTTTTTTTATATAATCAAATAGACATTTTTAGCCTAAACTTAAATACATTAAAACAAGTCTGCCTAAAAATAGGTTCGATGTTGACCTGTGATTATAATTAGTAGAAGTTATTTGCACAATGATCCTTCAATAACATATTTCATTATCTTTTCTTAATTAATTCTTTCTATCTTTATTTTTGGTAGTTTATTTTACTGAAGTATCTTTCGCAATTAAAACAAACAAACATTCTAGCTTTATATATGCGAAAGCAATGTAAATGTCTATAAATTTAAATTGTTAGTTATGTAAGATATTACTTTATTAGAATCAAATTACTTAAAAAATAATATAGCAATTTGTTTTTATTTAATTTATAAATGTACATTTATTTTTATACAATGACTCGCCAAACAGTTGGCAATATATAGCGCAGATTTCTTAATACTAGTACTTACCTACTTAGATACATTTATACACATAAATACACGTTTATAAAGATATTTAACAATAATTTACTTAGAATTTATTTTTGAGATATCAAAACTCCAGCTGTATTCTACATAGTCGACAATCCACAATATCAGATATGTTCACTCCAGGACTACAGTCAGGTATAATTTCATAAATAAATAATATTCGCCCATTCGGTCGTTATCATCCATGAAAAATTGATTTTTTTATGGAATGATGCACCCGCCTGCGGTATACGCCGGCGGGGCACTAGTGAACGATAATAAAATGAGCATGAAGTCGCGTCAGCACATCTTGGCAAATGGTAATTTACCACGACGGTTTCTAGAGAGAACCGCGTGGAGGTCAACCTGACATCGTACATTGCTGTCAATGGGTTTATTAATCCACATTACTAATCATCCCCTTCCCTCGGAATGAGGGCATTAGTATCGCTTATTACAAGGTCAAAAAACCCATAGGACTAATGGCTTCATTAGTAAGGAATGTTATTGCCTGGTGTTGTATAAAGTAAACAATAATATATGATTTATATAATATATTCATTTATGTGTGTTTTTCAACGGTCTCGGTGATCTAGCGGTTTAGCACACCGCTTTACTTCCGATGGTCGCGGGTTCGATTCCTCGCACGGTGCAAACATTTGTATTCATGAGTATGGTTTTTGTATTTTTTTTATAACACGGGACAGACGAACTTGCGGCTCACCTGATGGTAAGTGATTACCGCCGCCCATGAGCACCCGCAATACCAGGGCAATTGCAAGTACGTTGTCGGCCATTTAAAAAGTAATAAGCTCTTTTCTTGAAAGTTCCAATATCGTATCGGTTCGGAAATATTATTGTTGGAAGGTGATTCCACAATGTGGTTGTACGTGGCAAAAAGTTTCTAGAAAACCGCACTGTGGAGGACCGCCATTCATCCAGATGATCGGTTTGATATTTTAGTAGTAGATGTATCGTCTGGATAATATCTATGTATACTATGCATGTGTTTACAAAAAAAAATATCTAAGTGTTTATATCAGTTGTCTAGTAGCCAAAACACAAGCTATGCTTACCATGGGACTAGATGATGCTGTGATAATTATCCAGGGTTGGTTATTTATTAATGTTTGTATATATAGTAGTAGCAATGCCCGCGGTTTCATCTGCGTTAAATTTCAATATAAAATATAGCCTATGTTATTCTGATTCTTAAGCGTTATCACTGTAAAGTTTCATCAAATTCAGTACTTTTTGCGTGAAAGAGTAACAAACATCCATACTTACAAACTATTGCGTTTATAATATTATTAAGAAAAGATTACATTGCGACGTGTATTACATATTTTATCTATTTCCACCATTTCACTATTCCTCTCAGACAAACAAAGGTTGACTGAAAAACTTAGGGATAAATCCGCTATTGTACGTATTTATTCTATAAGTCAATTGTGTTCTTTATATATAATTTGTTGTACAATAAAGTATTACAAACAAACAAACAATAATAGTATTCTACTTGAGGTAGACTGTTAAAAATCGTGAGAGTGGGTACCTCAGTCTCATCTATTCAAATACAAATTAAAAAATAATTTATTAATGTACGACATTTTTGCCATTTATGTACGTCATATTTTTCGTATTATATTTTTTCCCTACCGTCCAATTCAGTATACAGATTCAATTAAGAAGAACTGGCAAAAAACACAATTGAATTTTTTTTTCAGTCACCGAGCAGCTTGCTTTACAAGCTGTTCGGCTGTAAGATGCGATTAGGCAATGAAATTACAGGATAAGAGGTATGACATTTTAGTTGTCTGATTGACAAGTCATTAAATGAGAACGAACGAAATCATGAATGAATGAAATGAATGAGAACAAAACCAAGAACGAATGTAATATGATAACGTATACGGAATATGTTCATGTATATAGGCGACAATTACCGTTTACCATCGGGGCTGTTAACTTATTAGCTATTTCAATTACCTAATTTATATTAAACTTAATAATAAAACTCCATCTTAATTCTATGATGGATTTACTGTATTAATAAATTACATTAATTTCACTAAGTATCTTTATATTAAATTGAGGAAAAAAATTGGAAATTCTTTTAAGTATAAAACAAATATAATACTTATAAATTTAACCGTTCTAAGTGCTCTGATGTAATCTGTAATTTAATATTCATCTACATTAATAAATTTTAGTGATTAATCTGGTAATATTTTTTTATACTATGTCGGTGGCAAACAAGCATACGGCCCATCTGATGATAAATGGTTACCTAGCCTATGGACGCCTGACACACCACGTGCGCGCTGCCGACCGTTAAGAAACTCTAATATACTCTTCTTTTTTGAAAAATCTCATGCTGTAGTCCGCTGCAAATCCATAATTAATCTTTCACAACTAATAACTGAAAATAATTTAGTTTAAACAGCTCACCAAATGAGCGATAAAATAAACATATAAAACAAAAGAGATATTAAATATATGACAATTTAAGTTTTTTCTATTCTATTCTATATAAGACGAACAAAATCGCGGGTAAAAAAAAACTAGTAATATGATTGTTGATTTCATTTTAAAAATTCACGCCTACCTGCACTGGGACAAATGTTCGAACGAGAGTTTACGCAAGCGGCCGCATGTGCACTGAGCGACAGTTTGTCGCCGCGAGTGTTTTGTCTTAATAATTAATTCAAATTGCAAATTAAAGCGAACAAAACTGAGAACTTCACTGTGGAAACTATTTAATAATATCAGATAGTGATAGTGTGTGAAAATACTAGTCCAGGGCGTGTCCCTGGACCAAGGGGTGAAATAATTCGGTGAGTCGCCATGATTATCATGCCATTTATCAATATTAAAAAACTAAGCATATCGAACTATGATAAGATCTCCATATACTTAATAATATTAACTAAATAAACTTAAAAATATAAAGAAATAATAAAATTATTTAAAAGAGCAACACGCTTCTTGCTCGTTCTTCTTGTGATGAAACAGCTTTCCGAATGAGCGGTAGATTAAAAAAATGTAATGACTGTTCAAAAGTGCTTCAATGTAAGATTATTTGAATAAATGATTTTCTATTCTATTCTATTCTAATTAATATATTAACTGCTGCAACAACTGCAGGCAATAAAAACAAGAGTTTTCGTTAAACATCATGAACAGTGGGCTGTTTCCGTACCCTAACGGCGCGAGATAATTTCGAAATGTTACGTTTTCAACCACTTTAAAACACAATCTCCAATTAGCTAGTTTAATTCCGAAATGTATTCATGTGTCTGCGGTAAAATTATAATTTTAACATTATTTCGCATCATTCGCAATATCAGTTCGTGAGGACTTTATTATAAATCTTATTAATATTGTAAAGGCAGAAGTTTGTGTGTGATGTATGAATATATTTTACTCTTACATTGCGTGTACTAACTATGTAGTACTAGTGTGTCAAACTACTGCATGGATTTTAATCAAACTCTACAAGTTTCCTCCGATCGATCCCCCGTCCAATTCAAACGGGGATCGATATTACGACGGCCTGAGCCGAGGTTCGAACCCCTAGTGGTGCCCTCAGACTAAAGTCGTATCCGTCAGGCACGAGTTGGTCTTCAGCCGCTCCATAAGCCCTTCCGCGAGTTTGGAGTGCCATCTGCAATCGCCCCCCTAACGTCTGGTGAAGCTGTAAAGGCCAGCTGCGGCAATTTTTTTATTAATATGGCTATTATAATTATACATCAGAATAACACATAGGCAATAAATTTTAAGCAGGTAAAACCGCGAGCACAGCTAGTAAATAATAACCTTGGACAATTCACACCATCCGGTGCCAAGCTAAGTACAGCTTTTTGACTTGCTGTAGTTGACTTTAAATTTTTTTTAATGGCTGATATTGGTATGGTTCTTTGGCCTGCCCTAACGGTTTACGGTTTAGCATGAGGTCAGATCAGTGTACTAGTAGTTACCCATCCTAGTAAAATCACGAGGAATTTATAACATTGTTTTCCAGGTGGAACCACGTGGGGGTCAACCTGACATGGTATATTGCTAGCTATGGGATTATTAGTCTACATTATTAA